GGAAAAAGATTTCCTGTTTTTTGTGGCAGCAGCTGCAAAAAAAAGAGAGTTAACATTAAGTACAGCTATGCATAGGTGTGTGTGTGTGCGTGTGTGTGTGTGTGTGTGTGTGTGTTATGTTGTGTGTCACGTTTGACGTCACACACTGGCGTTGTGCTTCAGCGACCGAAACCGGGCATGAGAAACGAGAAATGAGAAATTCAAATTAATATTCAAAACAAAAAAGCAAATATGCATACGAATACTTTCACTAGACGCTGTGGTTATTGTTTTTGTTTTTCATTTGAGTGGCTAAAGAATTCGTTGGATATGAACTGGAAATTGATGGCTGCATAATATTTAGATGCTAGACTATTGCGCAATGGGCAAAGCGGAAGCCTAAGCCGATGCGAGGGGTTACGAACAAAGCTCGGGTCACGGGCTGCATTCATTGTCTGCACGGCTCATAATATTTAGCAGTTGTTGTTGCTGCTGTTGCTACCATTGAAGGTGAGTGATTAATCTGCGCTTTCACTTTGCCAAGCATCGGCCAAGCAACGGCAACGGCAGCAGCTGCCGTCGCCGCAATTGCGGCTGACAGTGTATACAATATTTTTGCCAGCACTGTTGAAATTCACTTTTTTTTTCTCTCTCTCTCTCTCTCGCTCGCTCGCTCTTTGTGCGTTTTCCGGTCCATTGCCAGCTATGATGACGGCGCGTCGCTCAGCTTTAATCACACTACGATTTATTTTCACTAATTATAATGCACACAGCAGCAGCGAAGCAGCAGCAGCTGGCCTCAACAGCTGATCGGCTAATGAAATCCAATCGGAGTCGAAAAAAAAAGTTCGTTGCCTAAGTCATTTGTATTTTTTATCGTCTTTTCTTTTTGTAAGGTGAAAAGTGTTTTCTTGGGCACTTGAAAAGATGACAAGCGTGCTGCAACAACAACAACAACAACAATGACAAACAATTTGTTGCTGAACAAAGCGGCATAGACTACAACAACAATAATAACAACGAAATTTCAATACGGAACTAGCAAAAAAAAGGCCAAAAATTGTATAGAAAATGTTTTGCAGATATTTTCTTTAGAGTATGGCCTAGTTTGTATATCGAGTAAGTCACATTGTAGAGGAGTTCAGGTTAGACATCATATATATCAGATAAATATAGGAGAGAAGTGTGTAAACATGGACAGCTAATGAGCTTTCTAAACACTGAACCAGCAAGAGTAATATTATTTCCAATAACTGAATATGGTATTGAATTGGGCATATAGTTTTGAGAGTGATTGGCAATGCAATGAATTTAATTCGGGTTCTGTTACACATATAAACCATTTTGTATTTCATATCATTTGATAAGACTATTTTATACATATGTAAGTATTATAGTATGTATTCATTCCTGACACTTTCAGATATATATCTTCATATATGCCCATATCTCTAAATACTCTATATACATATGTATATATATGTAGCTCATACAGTCATACTACAATGCTTGTTCGACTTTAAACTAACATTTAATTTTATTTAATCTAAATTGAACCAAGTTTTTCTTTAGTATTCCTATATCCTATAACTTTTGTAGATCTAACATAACCTAAGCATAAACGTGGTATATCGTATACTCTAAACTCAAACAAAGTCTTTTTTAGCCCACATTTGTATATATGCCAAGGGTATTGTGTATGTAGACTCTAATTACTCTCAGTCAACTGTTCTTTCCAGTTAGCTATTTTATTTTTCAACTCGTTTGGGCTGTTGTAAGGTCCCACCTTAAACCAGGCCAAACAGCATTTCGTTCACCTGCGAGATTTTCCCTCATTTGGCTGCAAAATGAAATTTCACGCTTTGCTTGAACTTGAGGCGATTTTTTCCCCGTTGTTTGCAAATGTTTTCTTGTTGTTTTTTTAGTTTTTTTTTTTAGAGATGCAAAGATTTCACCATGGCCAAAAAGCTAACTAAAATCAACTGGCTAAGCTTGAGCTGCTTGTCATTGAAATTTTTGCAGGCTTTGTTAAAACACTGTTGACCCTGTCACATTACCTGCTTGCTATGCTTGGCCTGGCCCTTGTTGTATGACAGTTAGTAGAGTGTAAAGTTTAACGATTGGTGAAATGAGGCCACCTGCCAAACAGCTGTTGGAATGGGGACCCCATATAGGGAGGAAGAGGCAGAGAATCCCTTACGACAGGTGCTGACAGAGAGAGAAGTTTCCTAACCGGTCCTTTAGAAGGAAATTCATTGATGAAAGTACTTGAGCTTCAACGAAATGTTAAGTTATTAGCTATGAGAGAGAATTAAGCTATTAGCTATGAGAGAATCTTTAACCGATTATTAATGGAACTGAAGAACTACAAATTAAATGAGGGAATCTTTATCTATGTGCAATCAGAAATTCGTTATGAGAGAGAATCTTTAGCTAAGTATTTTTAGAAATTTTTACATATTTCCTAAAAATGCAGTCCACTGGTCAAAAGCTGAGTTACAAGTTATGAAAAAGAAGAGAATCTTAATTCATGTTCTAAGATAATTGTAGTGTTAGTTAAGAGAGAAAATCTTCGAAATGTTGTACTATAAGCTAAAAGAGAGAATCTTTCCACAATGCTCATAGATTATTAATAAAACTCCCAATTAAAACAACACTAAGCTAGGTAAAAAGTCGGACTCGTAGCTCTCAGCTAGGAGAAAGAATCTATGGCCAAATAGTGACAGAAATAATGCCAGCCCAAGCAATTGAGGTGCCTGAACGCCCAGACTTTTTAAGCATTTGAAAGCTGTTCCAAATTCGGGCCGAGCTGAATCATTTCTTGACTTTTTGGCTTTAGTTTCGGTTACTTTTTGGGGTTTTTGCACGGTTTTCTGCTACAGTTATTATTGCGTGTGCACTCACTTGCGAAACGCTTCCAAGTGCTCAAGTTTTCCACAGTCTAACGGTGCTTCGCTGGGCTTTAGCGCTGTTAAAGTTGGCTTTTTAAATTGTTTATTTCTTAGCCTCTCTTTCGGCCGAGTTGTAAACTGTCCATATCGCGTTTTGGACCTACCACTGCGCACTGCTGCGCCCATTTACAAAGTTTGTTTATTATTATTGGGTAATAAGCCTATTTGTGTTGATTTTTACCACTCTTAATTACAATATGATGTCATCCGGCTATTATATTTCCACCGTATCGATAAAGTATGACCAACATAATCATAGATTGTCATATGTGCCCAGAGTAGGCTCAACTTTGATTGATAAACTACTCTGTAATCGAAAACTTTATGAAACTTGGATTGTTTTTTACGTTGAAAATTGAGAGCAGGCTGAAATCGGCTTTACTTGAATTATTTCTGGTAATTCATGTATGAGGAGATGTTAAGCAGCTTCTTGAAATATTTATTTGTTTTTTCTTTGTCTTCTCTTTGTATATTTTTTCCTTTTACAAGCTGATTTTTATAAGGTTCAAATCTGTTTTTAGCTACACAAAAAACATCATATAGGATGCCAAAATTCGAGCCATCTAGATACAAAGCAGATCTATCCGATTTTCACTTTCGTGAATGAGTGTAAAAATTGTGTGTAGCAATAATTATTTAAATTAATTTTCTACACATCACATGTTGTTAATTGATTTAAGCTATACAATATTGAGCCAATAAAAGTCAGCTGGATTATTATCATTATTTTTGAATAGTTTTAAATATGATTTCTGTGTCTGCCATTGAATTGACCTTCGTAAAAGTGCGCAAAAATATTTGCCTAAAAGTTCGAATCAGCTTTGATTGTTTGCTGAGCTAATGCGTTGCTTGATATTCGTTGTCGAGTACGAAGCAAAATGCCAGCGGGTCGCCTTGAGCCAACCAAAAAGTAAATTAATAAATAAAAAAGAAACAGAGTTTTGGATATGGATTGAAGTGTTCAAGATTGGCAGACGACATATTTATGAGTGTGCCCATAAAAGTTTCCCAGTTTTCGATTTCAGTTTTGTAGCTGGAAGGGGGCAAGGGGGGAAATTATTGCTCAACAAACCTGTTGTCCAATCAGAGTACGAATTCCAATCGGAGTGCGGCTAATCCAATAAAAAGTGAAACTATTTCTAGTTGCGATTTTGTGCTTTAATCCAAGTGCACTTGGCTCTATGGTATGCGCCTATTTGTATTTCTTTTATTTTTATTTTCTATTTTAATTTTTTAGGCGCTGGGCTTTAATTTGCGATTTTCACAATTTCACTTGCACAGATACACAAACAGACATAAATATATAGATGCACATGCACTCACACGAAGACAGTCTCGTAAATTTGATTTTCACTTTGAATTTCTTTGAATTTCTCTCGTAACGTATTTTGAAATTCGCGTGCGACTTGAACGGCGAACAAAGCTCATTTGAGCCAGCGCTGGCACAGCACCAGAGCTCATAGTGGTGCCCAGCTCGTTATGGTGGTGCTCTGCGGCTCTGCTCTGTCGGTGGTTCGATCCAACATGTTGCATGCGAATTTCGAAAAAAAAAAAAACTAAACTCTCAACTGACGCATGTGAATTTTCGGTTTCTTGTTGGGAATTTTGAAATCGTCGTGAACTATTTTAGTTTTTGTTGGTAATTGAGCTTTGAGCCGTGTCGTGACACGAACATGCACGAATCGTGCTACAGAGGCTCGATGGCAACTTAATGCTCTGTGATTCGGTTGATTGTTCATTTTTGTTTTATTAAAAGAATTAATTTTTAATTTGAATATTGACATCAAGTATGTAATTATGATTTTAATCAAAATGAATAATTAGTTATTTATTTAATATTTATTTTCATTCGCTACACATTAAGCTATGTAAATTGACTCTTTTTTGGTGTTTAGATTCGGCACCTAATATTTATTTATGATAAATATTCAATTCCAATCGGAATTGTATCGCTTCCAGTTGGATTTGCGGTCTGCACATTCCAGAAGTCTCTTATGCCCTATGCTAGTTTAGAGTACCCAACTTCTATTACTCGTCCATTTTCACTCCAAAGGTGCGCCGTCTGCTCATTCATGCACGCACCACCAAACCACCGCACCACACACTCCCATGGCAATGGCTTGATTCATAGAGTTCAATTCAAGCGTTTGCTATGTACAGCAGCTCGTCAGGTGCGTGACAACCTTCATTGGCCAACTATGCCGACGGCCACGACGGGGTAAACCCGAGATCCATCCAACCACTCGGCTGACTCAGTGTGACGTCTGCAATGGCGGATATATGTCCGAGATCTGATCTGAACTGATCTTAGCCAAGGGCAAATCTTTAACACATTTTCGCTTCAAGTTTTTGCTGTCAAAACAAATCTTTGAATTTTTGTGTTTTTTTTTCATTCTCATTTGTTTTGAAACAACTTCCGCTTCGCTCGGTTTTCGCACGCTTTTGCCATATTTCAATGACTTTCTTCTTTAATTTCATTAATAAAAGCTGATCGGACCATCATTAAATTAAGTGCCGTCTGTGTAGCTCCGTCTCACAAAAGATATTACCAAAAGTTATGGCAGAAGCGGGAAAAGTTGAATAAAAGTTGCTTCAACAATAAATTCGTATTTTTGGGTGGGATTTTAATGATCTACCTTTTTTTCGTGGGTATATAGGCTTGTGCATAACGCTTGTCGAGCTTAAATAAAACAAACTTTCTTAGAGAATCCATCTCATTGTTTAAAGCCCATTAAAATATACGATATGATATGATATAAATTTCTGTATATATATAATATTATAAATGTAGTCCTGTTGTTGTATTTGTTATTTCAATTGTTTATCTTATTAGCATATATGTATATATATATATGTACATATGTATTTTCAAAAAGATAAATTGCCCTGCATTTTATCTACCTTCAAGTTACATAGAACTTTTGTATAGAAATATATGTTTCATATTATAGAAATTTAGCTGGTATTACCTTCTTTCTCGCTTATTCTCTCACTCCCTCTTTTCATCACTCTGCTACTTCCCTCTCTTACCCTTTTTGAACTTTCTTTCTCTCATTTCGGCAGTCTTCGGCTCTTACTTTCAATGCCTTCTTCACTCTTTCATTTTCTCTCTAAAGTACTTTTACATCGATATTATAGAAATACGTAATATTATTTATCCTTTAGCTTCCCTCTTCCTCTCTCCTTATCTCACTCTCTCTCTCTCTCTCACTACTTTCACTCTCTCCCATTCTACTTCTTCTTCATAACAGCCATACTCATCTATAGATATTGCAGAAATAGGAATTACTTTTACATAGCCTCTTATACCCCATCTCACTTTCGCTTTGCCTCATAATCTCTCTCTCTCTCTCTCTCTCTCTCTCTCTCTCTCACTCACTCAATGTTCTCCCTCTTTCATTTAGGCCACCTTCCATCCTACAGATAAGCCAACAGGAAACAGCATTTCAGAGCTATGCAAGCTGATCTGCTCTGATCCATCTCCAGTTCCAGCTACACAGCTTAGAGGCCACGCCTTAAGTGTGCCACGCCCTCACTGCCTGTTTGTCATCTGGCGTGTGTGACGTCTTCGCCAGGCGAGTGAAAGTGAAAGTTCTGTGCGCCGGTTTTAAAAGGCCAACTCGAGCTGTCGCCGAGTCGGTCAATATCAAAACGATGCTAACAAGTTTCGTAAATACCGAAATCATCAATAAAAACATCTGGAATATATTTAAAGGTATGGCAAATAAAAACCCATTGGCATTGCATCATTTTGTTCAGTGTTTTATTTTGTTTATAATAAACTAATTTTTATATATA